TTCTACCTAATAATTATCTTACTTTCCTCTGCATCTCTAAGTGCGACATATTTCAGTCTGCAATTAAAGATCCAGAGGTGACAGACTCTCTGCTGCGCAAGAATGTAAAGAAACTGGCATGACCCCAACATCAGCAACTTTTTGCCCTCATTTCTGGAACTTGGATGGTAGTTTCAGAGGCCTCTATACTACTACTGACATTTCTGACACCAGGAGGGTGGGAGCAGCAACAGAAAAGGTTCTGTCTCCCCAGGTTTGGTGCTTGGTCCTTGGTGGTGGGGCGAGGAGGTGAGCAGAGGAGGAATGGAGGCTGCGGGAAGGGGTGAAGGAGGGCTTTCAGGTACGAGGGATCCAAATGATGAAGGGGCTTTGTGGGTGAGGAGGAGGATCTTGAAAGTGATGCGTTGTTTTACAGGGAGCCAGTGGAGATGTTGGAGGACGGGGGTGATATGATCACTTGAGCAGGTGTGGGTGATGAGACGGATGGCAGAGTTTTGAATAAGCTGAAGTTTTTTGAGGAGTTTGGAGGGTAAACCATAGAAGAGGCTATTGCAGTAGTCCACTCTGGAGGTGATGAAGGCATGGATGAGTGTTTCAGCTGCAGGGAGGGAGAGAGATGGTTGGAGACGGGCGATATTTTTCAGATGGAAGAAGGTTGTTTTTGTGACCTGTTTGATATGCTGTTCAAATGTGAGGTTGGTGTTGAAGATTAGCCCAGGGTTGCGGGTGTGAGAGAAGGGAGTCAGAGATGAATTTCCAATGGTGACGCAGAAGTGATTGATGGACTGGGTGAGGGATTTGGGGCCGATGAACATGAGGTCAATTTTATCACAGTTCAGTTGAAGCTAGTTGGTTTGCATCCAGGCTTATTTCAGAGAGGCAGTGTGAGATGGTGGAAAGGGTGGAGGAGGTAATGGATTGGGTGGAGATGTAGAGTTGAAGGTCATCAGCGTAGCAGTGGAATCAGAGACAGTGACGACGGATTATATTTCCAAGAGGGAGAATGTAGATGATGAAGAGCAGAGGGCCAAGCACTAAACCTTGGGGGACACCTTGAGCCAGGAGAGCAGTGGAGAAGGAGTGGTTACTGATATGGATGAATTGTTGTCGATTGAAAAGGTACGATTTGATCCAGTGCCAGTGATGTGGAGTGATTTTTTAAGACGGGAGAGGAGGATGGAGTGGTTAATGGTGTCGAAGGCAGTGGTGAGGTCGAGGAGGATGAGAATATTGACATGTCCAGAGTCTGCGGAAAGGAGGAGGTTGTTGGATACTTTGAGGAGGGGTGACTCATTGCTGTGCTTGTAATGAAAACCAGTTTGAAATACTTCATACAGCTTATTGGAGCTGAGGTGGGTTTGGAGTTGGGAAGCGACAGCGCGTTCTAATATTTTTGAAAGGAGGGGGAGGTTGGAGATGGGGCCGAAGTTGGACATGATGTCAGGGTCAAGTCCAGGTTTTTTGAGAATGGGAGTTATGGCAGCAACTTTAAGGGTGTCAGGGACTGATCTGGCGCAGAGTGAGGAGCTGATGGTAGCAGTGATGAGTGGAGAAAGGACAGGAGACAGCTTGGAGGGGATGGGGCTAGGGTGCAGGTGGGAGTCTTCAATGCAGGTTATGAGTTGGGAGAGTTGAGAAGGAGAAATGGGAGAGAACTGAGATAAAGGCTGAGCAGTGGACTGGGGGGAGCAAGGGGGAGAGGTGGGGTGGGGCGTGGAGGTGTGGAGGCTGTTGTCGATGGAGTCTATTTTGTATTGAAAAAATGAGAGGAAAGTCTGGCATTTATCAAATGTGAAGGATGAAGCGTTGTTGTCATGGGGCTTCAGAAGGGAGGTGTGGATGATGTGTGAGTAATAGGTTGACTGGGCAGAGTTGAGGGCATCTCTGTACTTTTGGATGTGGTCTGTGTAGATTTGGAGATGTACTGTGAGTCCGGTTCTTCTGAAGAGTCGTTCCAGTTGGCGTTTTTGTGCTTTCATCAGGTGAAGTGCAGGGGTGTACCATGAGGCAGAGTGCGTGAATGAGACTGTTTTGGTTTTGTTGGGGGCCAGTAAATCCAGACAGGAGGAGAGGGTGTTGTTGTAGTGGGTGACAAGGTCAGAGGGATTGCCAGATGGTGGTGGGGGAGATACAACAAGGCTGCAGGTGAGAACAGTAGAAAGAGCTGAGGGAGTAATGGATTTTATATTACGGAAGTTTATGGTACATTTAAGTTTGGGGGTGGGGGTGGGGATTCTTATGTCCATACGGATTACCAGGTGATCGGAGATATGGAGGTTGTGGCATGATGGCTGTGATATCTGGAGACCAGTGGAGCAGACCAAGTCCAGGATGTGGCCACGGTTGTGTGTGGGAAAGTGAATGTGTTTTGTGAAGTTGAAGCAGTGCAGAATGTCCAGGAATTCATTGGCGTTTGTGCAGCTGGGATTGTCAGTGTGAATGCTGAAGTCACTGAGGAGGAGAACGGATGGAGAGATGGCACAGAGTTGGTTGAGGAGGTCAGAGAGGTCAGTGAGGAAGTTTGGGTTTGGTTTGGGTGGGCGGTAAATGACAGCAGTAATCAGAGGGGTGGGGCCAGGGAGTTTGTAAACAACATATTCAAATGAGGAGACAGCTGGCATGGAGAGTGTTGTGGTTTTAATGTCCTTTCTATGGATTGCTCCAATATCGCCACCCCATCCTTCTGGGCGGGGCTTGTCTATGTATGTGTATCCTGTTGGTGTTGCTTGGTTGAGTGAGTAGTTATCCAGTGGTTTGTGCCATATTTCAGTTAAACAGAGGAAGTCCTGATTATTGTCAAGGATGTATTCATGGAGGATGAGACTTTTGTTGGTGAGAGAGCAGGTGTTGAGCAGAGCCAGGTGCAGATGACATTCATCTGAAGGTGTGTGTGTGGTCTGGGGTAGTGAGCGCAGGTTGGTCAGATTCACGTGTTGCTGTTTGTTGTGATGAAGAGTGGTAGACAAACTCTTAGCCAGAGCCTCTGTGTGCAGAACGGCTGGTGCAGAGTATTCTGGCTTCTTTAAGGGTGTTCAGGCAGTCCGGGGGAAGGTGGTGGTTGAGGACGCGGAGGTCGGCGGCAGAGTACAGCGGCAGCCTGGTCCGATGGGTGAGAGTTAGCGCGGGGCTAACACTCAGCGGTGAGGGCAGTGAGCAAACCATGATAATCTAGATGATGATCCGGGGTATGACAGGCGAAGCACGGTGCCGGCAGTCCCCGGAGTGGAGGAAATAGGGACAATCAGTCTGGAATCGGGTGGAGGTTGGATATTACGCCTGCTAGCCTGCTAGCCCCAAAAATGAGCTAAGACAGCAGGTCTCACTGGCGATTCCTTTACATCGGAATTCAAACGTAGATGTCCTTCAAAGCTTGAAGAAGCTGACACAGGAGGCTGGATAAGGTAAAGTTTCCTACTAGTAGTAGTCAGTTAGCACCTGACTATCAGCAGTTAGCAAGTTAGTACGACCAGCTAACAAGCCTAAACAGGGCAGACTGCAAGTCGAATACATGTAACTTCTCTGGAGAGCTTCTTTGAGTAGCAGAAAAGATGCAGTGTTCTTGGCTGGGAGCAGTGACTTCTCACTCTGTAGATGCTCAGATAAGTTTTTTAAAGGCTAAACTGCCGTTTCTAAAAGCTACGTTGCTGGAGAGCAGCGTCAACCAGTCGCGCCAGCCTGCAATAAATATGTTTAGAACTACAACTGAACTGTCATCTGTTGATTCTTGGTGTGTTTTTTTAAATGTTGCCATTGAAATAGGCCATCACTTCTCACAATAACTTCATGACTAATGTTGTGCTTAGACCCACATTAAATAAATTAATTTTTTCCTGTATTGTTAAATGTTAGAATATCAAATTTAATCCAACGACTGTAATGTGGGGTGAAACTGGTAGCTTTGCATCCTACCCTCCTCCATTATCTGGGCTTAGGATCCAAAGAGACCCAAAGATATGCTCTGACAGAGTTACTTAGGGTTTTTGTTTTTTATTTGTTAGATTTCTTTTTCGTTTTTTTCTGACATGATGAGCTAGCTAGCTAGATGTTTAGCTTATGTCACAGAGAGGCACACACAGTGGACACAGTGAGCAAGTGATTGAGGCTGTGTGACTCAAATACTGTGACAGTGAAAAAAAAAATTTACATTCAGATCTCCCTCTGTAAGCCAATCTGGGATCAGCGGTGGCTTGGCACTAAGCGATCCATTTGCAGCGGTGCCGCAGAGCGGTGAAGGTCTCCTGTGATCCAACCGCAGCTGTGCAGGACTCCTGACCACCTGGGAGAACTTCAGGACAGGGAGGAGCTCACGGCAGCACCCGCTACTCATTGAGGACAGTAACGGCACAATGATATGTACTTTTCCGTCAGTCTCCAAACACCAGAAAAGTCTCCAATAACACCAGAAAAAGTCGCTACATTATTCGCTAGTCGCTTCTGGGGAAAAAAAAGGTGGCAAGAGGATTTGGAAAGAAGCCAGATTTAGCGAGAAAGTTGGTAAGTTGGCAACACTGGATAACAGTTTCACTGACCCCCTTCCCCAACCTCAGCAACATTACTGCTCTCATTTTTGTCATCCACACAATTAGAATCATCATTAAAATATTAAATTTAATAATTTTATTTGACTTAGTCACTGCTGGACTTTGATTTGTACATGCTTCCCATCGACAAAGTCAAAACAGTAGGAAGTCCTAATTTCACCTCAAATCTGTGCTATCTCTGGTACCGTGCTTCGTATACATAAGGATTAATCACTGATGCAGTTCTACAGCTCAATCTGTAGGCAGCTGCCATTTTCTTTGTGTCTTTTGATGTGTTCGATATGAGGGAAAAGGAGAAATTGGCTAGAAAAGAGAAAAAGGAAGGATCCAAGGAAACAAATGTAAAATGAATAATTGACAAAATTTTGGAGCAAGTAACAAATCTTCATGTGGATACGGAACAATGTGTTAGACCCAATGACAAAGCAATCGTGCAGTACAGCCTCTTTCTCTCCTTACCAGTGTGGTGAAGATATAGTGATAATACTCTGTCATCATCCCCATGGCGAGAGCCTAAGACACAGAGTGACAGAGAGAGAAGCAGAGAGAGAGAGATTGGGGGAAGGAGAGATTTATATATGAATTGGGAGGCACAATACAATGCTTAGTTATATTCTGCACACATCCACATACACACATGCATTTGTCTGTTTATGTGGCTGTTTCATTGGCTGTATAACCATGTAATGTGAAGAGGCATATATTCTGCTACACTGCTGCAGCCACAGGCTCAGAGATAAGAAAGAAACAACCACCAAAAAGACAAACAGCCACATAAAGAAAGAGACAGAGCTCAGTCTCATCATATATTTGGCATATCTAGGAAAAACCAGCATGGAACATCATGAATGATTTTATATAGATGGAAAATCTTGTTCATTAGCAAATATATGTATATAATATTTGATTTTATTTTGTTATATTTTTAAAAAATATATATATTATTTAATATTATATCTTGTTGTGGCTGATGGTTTAGAAACTGCTGTTCATTTGAACTAATTAGTGCAAAATGAATTAAAACTGAAATCACCACCTCACATCACGTTACAGGTTACATCTATGTTTGTCCAGACTTCACCTTTGTTTTTGTTATTTTTGATATAAACGGTCATCATTTTAATTTTATCATTATTTTATCCTGTTTGACATTTGTTCAGAATTTGGACATAATTACTCCATCAATTATTGAGTTGCTTTGTGTGGTCACAGTGACCTTTGACCCTTGATTCTGATTGGTTCATGTTTGATTCCAAGAAAATATTTGTGCCACATGCAATAAAACTGTTCACAAAAGTAATAAACATAAAAAAGAATAAACACAGTAACCATGATCTTTGACCACCAAAATGAAAACAGTCTATTCTTCAGTCCAAGTGAAAATTTCTACCAACTTTGTTAAGACATTCAAAATACAATATGTTAGTGAGAAAGGGAGGGACAGGTGGCCCAAAAGCATAATGCCTCCAGCACTGGCTGTCGCCAGTGCAATCACAACCTCAGGTGTGATACTGTTTATTTGAATGTGTGGAAAATACAAACATGGTATGTAATATGATGCTTCAATTGTCTCTATTTGGAACAGACTTTACTGGAAGAGGTGCAAGGATTTAAATAACAGTTCTCATTTATAGAGCATGATGTAGAGCACAATTCACTAAATATGCCAGGGTTTATGTTGTTACAATATTTCATAACACGATTGGATAGCCCAGAAGGAAATATATACACTGTTGCCCAAAAAGTAAATAATTTTTGTTTTCAGACACATTCTTCTTTTTATTTCCATTTATAAACATCAGTAATCACTTTGTCCAAGTTCAATGATTACATACTGAGTCCAAGTACCAGGTGAAACCACTTCTGACTTTGGGATCTGACTGAAGAGTGGGACGTCCTGCCCATTGACAACAAGCTGTTGGACAGTATACCACGATGTCTTATCGCATTGATCGATGTCAGGGGTGGCCAGACTCAACATTAGTGACTGGGAGACATTTGAAAAAGTACTATTGGACATTTTTATGCATGAAATCCCCTCGAATGTGTTTCCTGTTAAAGTGACCAAGGTTGAAAAATTGAAACAAAACCATCCATCCATCCATCCATTGTCATCCGCTTTTCCGGAGTCGGATCGCGGGGGCTACTTAAACTCCCTCGCTTGAGGAAGCAACTCCCCCCCACAACCCGGAGGTGGCAATCCATTGGTTTCCGGCAGACAACCATGGCCTCGGACTTGGAGGTACTGATCCGCATTCCTGCCGCTTCGCACTCGGCTGCAAATCGCTCCAGTGAGTACTGAAGGTCACGGTCGGATGGAGCCAACAGTACCACGTCGTCTGCAAAAAGCAGAGACGAGATCCTGAGGTCCCCAAACCGGACCCCCTCCTCTCCCTGACTGCGCCTTGAGATCCTGTCCATGAAAACCACAAACAGGATCAGGGACAAGGGGCAGCCCTGGCGGAGTCCAACACCCACTGGGAACGTGTCTGACTTATTGTAGAGAATGCGGACACAGCTCGCACTTTGGTTGTACAGGGACCGTATGGCTCATAGCAGCGAGCCTGGTACCCCATACTCCCTCAGTACCCCCCACAGAGTTCCTCGGGGGACACAGTCATAGGCTTTTTCCAGATCCACAAAGCACATGTGGATTGGCAGGTCGAACTCCCATGCTCCCCTCTTCAGCTCCGCAAGGGTCAAGAGCTAGTCCACTGTTCCAAGACCAGGACGGAATCCGCATTGCTCCTCCTGAATCCGAGGTTCGACAATCGGCCGAAGCCTCCTTTCCAGCACCCTAGAGTAAAGTTTCCCGGGGAGGCTGAGAAGTGTGATACCTCGATAATTGGCGCACACTCTCCGGTCCCCCTTTTTTAAAAATGGGAACCACCACCCCGGTCTGCCACTCCACAGGCACTGTACCCGATGCCCACGCAACACTGAAGAGATGTGTCAGCCATAATAGTCCGACAATGTCCAGAACCTTCAGCATCTCAGGGCGAATCTCCTCCACACCTGGCGCTTTGCCACCGGGGAGCTTCTTAACTACCTCGGCGACGTCTACCACGGATATGGACGCAGAAGCCCCTGAGTCTTCAGGCTCTGCCCCTTCAGCAGAGGACGTGTTTACCGGGTTCAGGAGTTCCTCGAAGTGCTCCTTCCACTGCTCAACAAGATCCCCGTCTGGGTCAGCAGTTCTCCTCCCCGACTGTACACAGCCTAGGCAAATCCCTGCCTCCCCTTTCTGATGCGTCGGACGGTTTGCCAGAACTTCCTTGGGGCCAACCGAAAGTCCTTCTCCATAGCCTCCCCGAACTCCTCCCACAACAGAGTTTTAGCTTCCACAACCGCCGCAGCTGCAGCCCCTTTGGCTAGCCGATACCTGCCTGCTGCTTCAGGAGACCCCTGTGCCAACCAGGCCCCAAAGGTCTCCTTCTTCAGCCTGACAGCCTCCCTCACCACCGGTGTCCACCAGTGGGTTTTGGGGTTGCCGCCGCGACAGGCACCAGTGACCTTCTGGCCACAGCTCCTAATGGCTGCTTCTGCAATGGAGGCTTTGAACATGGACCACTCTGACTCCATGTCCCCAACCACCCCCGGGATGCAGGAAAAACTCTTCCGGAGGTGGGAATTGAAACCCCACGGACAGGGGCCTCTGCCAGACGTTCCCAGTTCACCTGCACTACGCGTTTGGGTTTACCAGGTCTGTCCGGCAGCCTTCCCCACCATCGGATCCAACTCACCACCAGGTGGTGATCAGTTGACAGCTCTGCTCCTCTCTTCACCCAAGTGTCCAGAACATACGGCTGCAGGTCTGATGATATGACTACAAAGTCGATTATCGAACTTTGGCCTAAGGTAATCTGGTACCAAGTACACTTATGAGCAACTTTATGTTTGAACATGGTGATTGTTATGGCAAATCCGTGGCTAGCACAGAAATCTAAAAACAAAACACTGCTCGGGTTCAGGGGACACCCTGGACAGGTCGCCAGTCTATCAAAGGGCTACACTTAGTGTGCTTGGTTGCCTGTCTCTAACATTCATACCTACAAGCAATTTAGAATCACCAATTAACCTCAACATGTTTCTGGACTGTTGGAGGAAGTTGGAGAACCCAGAGAGAATCCACGTTGCACAGGGAGAACATGCAAACGCAGAAAGATCCCGGGAGTCCGGGATGCGAACTGGGGATCGTCTAGTTGCGAGATGATGGTGCTAACCACCAAGCCACCTTGCAGTCCCTGATTAAGGTCAAAGAGAACAAATCTGATCAGGCTTTTGATTTTGTTTTGATGACTGAACTTTTTTTTTTTTTGACATGGTCTTGTGGACTATGGAAAGGCAAAGCTCTTCCTCTCTCCTTCTTATCAGTCAATCTATGTTCCATTCTCACCTACAGACATGACATAGAATATAATAAAATAGAATAGAATAGAATAGAATAGAATAGAATAGAATAGAATAGAATGCTTTTATTGTCATCATACACAAAGTACAATGAAATTAAAAGACAACTCCAGTGGTGAAATACAAGTATAAAAGGACAAATAAGTATATATAAATATTTTTACAAAAGGAGCTAGTAGGAAGTATATACAGTTTGGAACGAGCATGGTAATAGCCAAACGGTAAAATAAATATATTGCACTGTAAAAACAGAACTGAAGTCCACAAACAACATTCGCGCATAGATGACATCACCTGTGGACCTGTTGGCTCCGTATGCGAATTGGTGCTGATCAAGGCTGGGTGGCAGTAAGGATTTTATGTACCTCAGCACCAGTCTGTCAAAGCACTTCATGACAGTTGAAGTGAGAGCTACAGATGTGGATAGACAAAAAGAATCAAACAGCCAAAATGGGTTTTTCTCCAGGATTGTATGGCATTTCCATGATGCTTACCCTCTTTATAAGGTGCCTGGAAATGGAGCACAATCATAGAGTATAACTGCTCCTTTTTCACCTTAAAAGGAGCCATCTGAGGAGATGGGGTATGTAGGACTTCCTTGGATGTCCCCCCCTGTTGAGGTAATCCAGATATCCCCAACTGTGTGGAGACCTTGGGCAGACCCAAAACATGCTGGATGGATCATTATTTGTATCCCATCTGGCCTGGGAACACCTTGAGATCCCCCAGCAAGAGCCAGAAGGGGGTAAGCATGTCTCGGCTACGTTGCCACAACAGACCAGATGCAGTTAAGCAGTAAAACATCTGTGGATCGACAGGCAAACGTGTGGTTCACTTGTTTGACATAGCAGTGAAATCATAGACATTACATGCTCATTGCTGTTTAAATAATTGATGTAATACAGACACCAGAGTTATAGGAACACCATAAATAAGTAAGTCTGGGCACAGTAGGAAAATATTGATTAATGGGGGGGGACTCACTCGCTCTCCACCACACCTGTCCTTCATTGCAATCAGCGCTGCTGTTAAGCCGGCTTCCTCCCGTGATGCAGTGCCAGAGGATTCACTCCCCTATGAGCGGTAGATTGGTCACGCTTCGT